GGTCCTGAAAAGAGGAATGCAACTCTCCTCCACTGACGCACTATCCACACGCACATAGAAAAAGTTCTTCTTCCAAGAAGAATAATGCGACGTAAAATCGGTAACTATCGCCATATCGCGATGAGGGCGCAACCGAATCCTTCCCCCATCCCCTTCGGGTTTCAACAAACTCTCGAAGTGATAGGCATCTAGAGTCATGCCTCACTCATAACTTAGCACTAGAAGCCCGACCAGTTGTTGCAGGCTGCACGGAGTCATTTGACTTATCGACAGCCCAACACGATTGAGGTACCAAACAACGATCTCTGGAATCGGAAACCACAAATGACATTGCATCAAGAACACATTATAGCATGTAAAGTAACTGTCAGATGCGATCTTATCATCCTCTCCAGCGATCGGAAGACGAAACTCCACTGCATCCGGGACATGGAAGACACGCAGAATGGCGTCAAGGTCGTTGGGACAGATCAGACTCTGGCATCCAACGACACGGTTGGTATCGAACGGAGGGGGAACCCAGGTCCCGCGCCTGGTGCACATCGTACGTCACATGTGTCTGATCGATGTCGAATTTCCAAGTCCTTTTGCAAGTATTTGACAGACACCAACAACAAGTCTCACCAGATGCCCCATCGACTGTAGTTGAACAAGTTCTTCCTTTCCTGCTAAGAAAGTAAGTTACATCATTTTGAATTAGTTCATCATTAACCAATTAAAATAAGGTCATCTCTTTTCTGATCAATTTTTATCTTCAAATTTCTTACCTTTGTTCTAAGAGAGAACAAACGCTGTCAAACGAGTTGCTAACCTCCAAACTCTCAATCACAGGTTTTGTTATCACTTTACCTCTCTTATGAATATCTCACTCCCCGCTAAGGATATATATTTGAATCTATAAACCCTTGTACCAATCCCACAACCCAATACACTATCAGAAGAACACTTACCGAAACTATAACCATCATAACGAGTATGGTCCCTCTCTTTAACCAGGAGATTATCGCCTCCGGCGTCACCTTTTGTCAGTCACGCTCTTATGCACATGCCTCAACCAAATCCCTGTTCTCTGCTCTCTGATACACGCACTCCTCGAACCGGCGATTTGGGTGGCATTAAAGCATGGGTCAAATTGGCAGATCATGGTAAAATGATTACTGTTTTTTTGGGTTATAAAACTGATGGGAGTTTCTCCAATTTAAGCATTCTTTGGGTATATTTCGCCCATTCAATCTAAATAAAATTGCTAGATTTTTTTTAAAATAGAGAAATTTTTGTAAAATTTTTATATAATAGTTTTATAATTTATTTACTAACAAATCAGTTCTGGAAAATAATAGGAAGTGAAATAGAAAGTAAAAATAAGAATTTTTAACGTTAAAACTCCTCAACTAAGTTTGTTTAGGATAAAAACCCAAAACTGAGTATTTATTGGGAACACCCCCAAACTAACTTTATTTAATGGAATAAACACTATGTCTATAGTGAAGGTTAAAATGACCACTAGTACCGGTAAATCTTTAGTTTATGAGTTTTTACATTAACTAAACATAATTAAGGTGTTTTACCACTAAAATTTTAAAAAGTCAAAAAATGAAAAAAAATAAAAAATCTAATATTTTTATCAAAAAAATAGTAACTTAAATTTGCAATTTCAGCATTTTACAAATTTATGCAAATATACGAGTATGATTTATATTTAAAATCAAAACTTTATATGTAGAAATTGAAAATATAAAAACCATATATATCATAAAATTATGTATTTACCAGTAAAAATATAAAAAATCCAAAAATAAAAATATGTAAAATTTAAAATAGAATAACATTATATACGAATTAGTAACTTAAATTTCAAATGCTAGTTACTAATTTTTAGATAATTACTATTACTATAACTATAATGCTGATAAAAAGATCCATTACTACCACTCAATTTATACATATAATGTTGATTTTAAAACAAACCAAACTCATCAGTTTGCTTAAATTTTCTAATGCTAATTTTAAAATTTAAATTACTAATTTTTAGATGATGTTAGGCAAGGTTACTAATTTTTACATAATTAGTTTTACTCTAATGCAGATCAAAATTTTCATTACTACCAGTTAATTTATAAAAATATAATTTTGATTTTAAAATAAATCAAACTCATCAATTTGCATAAATTTTTAATGCTAATTTTAAAATTTTAAGTTACTAATCCTTAGATAATGTTATTCTATTTTAAATTTTACATATTTTAGTTTTTGGATTTTTTTATATCTTTAATGGTAAATACATAATTTTTATTTTACATTTGGTTTCTTATATTTTCAATTCTACATATAAAGTGTTGATTTTAAAAACAAACCATACTTTTATATTTTCATAAATGTTTAAAATGCTGAAGTTGCAAATTTAAGTTACTAATTTTTCTGCGGCAAAAAAAAAAAATTATTTATCATGTGTACAGAGGCGCTTATTGCTAACGTAAAAAAGGCTGAGAGGAGGAAACTTTTAACAGGAATAAAGGTACCTAGAGCATGTCCCTCGATCTCACACTTGTTGTTTGCGGATGATAGTTTATTTTTTTGCAAGGCTCAAAAGGAGGAATGCAGCACTATTCTCAACATTCTGAAAGACTATGAGAAGGTTTTTGGCCAGGTGATTAATTTTCAGAAATCTTCCATAGATTTTGGATTTAAGATTGAGGATTCACTTCAAACGGAAATGAGGAATATTTTATGGATTCACAATATGGGAGGGATGGGCTCATACTTAGGTTTACCGGAGAGTTTGGGGGGCTCAAAAACACGGGTACTTGGTTTTGTCCAAGATTGGTTGATTAATAGGGTTAATGGTTGGACTTTTAAGGTTTTCTCCAAAGGTGGGAAGGAAGTGGTTATTAAATCGGAAATTACAGGATTACCAAACCATGTTATGTCGTGCTACAGAATTCCAAAATCAATAACCTCAAAACTAACAGGGGTGGTGGCACAATTTTGGTGGAGTACAAGAGGGATGCACTGGAAATCTTGGGATAAAATGTGTCTAGCAAAAGAAGATGGAGGACTGGGTTTTAAGGACTTTTTGATTTTAATACTGCGATGTTAGGAAAACAATTTTGGCGTCTTTTGGAAAAACCGAACACACTGTTCTCTAGAGTGTTCAAGGGACGATACTTCAGGAATACTTCGCCCCTGTAATCACCACGCTCTTACTCGTCTTCTTACGGTTGGCGGAGTATTGTTTCGGCTAGATCTCTGGTTGTTAAATGACTAATCAAACGGGTGGGATCATGATCAACCATCTCAGTATAGAATGATTCTTGACTCCCAACCACTCGCCCGAGGCCAGCCAATTCTAATCTACAAACTTTAGATCTATCTCACAGTGGAATTTCTAATTAATTCTACTTCACGGACATGGAATTTACCGGTTATCAGGAATCTTGTGAACCCGGAGGATGTGAAGATTATTGAAGCTATTCCTTTGAGTAAAACTAGGCTGCTAGATCAAGATGGATGGCATTTCACGACTAATGGAAAATATACGGTAAAGTCAGGGTATCAAGTTGAAAGGGTATATCCAGACAGAGAAAAACCACCGATAAAGTATGGATCCACGGTCAACCTGTTGAAAGCTCATGCTTGGAAACTTCGATGCCCACCAAAGATGAGACACTTTATTTGGCAGATTATAACGGGATGTATTGCGGTAAAGAAAATTTTGCAGGGAAGGGGCATTCAAGGAGAGATACACTGTGTGCGATGTGGGGCTTCTGAGGAGTCGGTTAACCTATTTTTTGAATGTCCCCCTGCCGTTCAAGTTTGGGCACTTCTAAGATCCCTTCCAGACCAGGTTTTTTCCCAACTCAAGCTTTGTTTACAAATATTGATCATCTATATTGGAGGGTAAGACTTGTAATGGAAGATCATCAGTTTGTTTGGATATTATTGTATCTTTGGAAGGCACGAAATAATAAGGTTTTTAGTAATATTGATGTGGATCCTATGGATACACTGAAACTAGCAGAGACGGAATCAATCTTATGGGAGGAGGCCCAAGCATCAATAAGCTAACATAATTCTCCTATGCAGGAGGTTAATGAGATACGGTTACCACAGATTCCGGGGCGCTGGTGTTTTCTCGATGGATCGTAGAAAGTAAACGAACTATTCTCGGGACAAGGATGGTTCAGTATTTTTTCCAGGTTATCAAGGTTTAATGGGGGCAAGGAATACGAGATCGGCACTATCGCCCCTGCATGCGGAAATGGAAGCTCTAATATGGGTTATGGAAAGTATGAGGAATTTGCGTCAAACCCATGTCACCTTTGCGACAGATTGTATTCAGCTGGTAAGGATGGTTTCTGCACCGGAGGAATGGCCAGCGTTTGCAAATTACCTCAATAACATTAAGCTTCTCAAAGAGAGTTTCATACACTCAGACATCATTCATATTTCAAGAACACTAAACACAAAGGCGGACAGTCTAGCATGTAGTGCCAGGAAGCAACCGTCATATGTTGTTCATATGGATGCGGAGTTACCAATTTGGTTTGCATAGTCTGTTTAGAGTCTGTACATGTTGATGACAAAAAAAAAAGTTACTAATTTTTCGAGAAAAATATTATATTTTTATTTTTTTCATTTTTTGACTTTTTAAAATTTTAGTGGTAAAATATCTCAATTATGTTTAGTTAATGTACCATAAACTAAAGATTTATCGGTACTATTGGTCATTTTGACCTGCACTATAGATAGAGAGTTTATTCCATTAAATCAAGTTAGTTTGAGAGTTTTTCTATTAAATATTTAGTTTGAGGGTTTTTATCCAAAACTAACTCAATTGAAGGGTTTTAATGTTAAAAATCTTGTGAATATGGATCTAAAGAGAATCGGTATGACAATTGTATCTGGTTTGGATTGGTTAAATGAAGCAGATAAAGAAAGTGGTATTTACTAATATTTTTTAATCAAAATAGTTGTATTTATTCTTATCTGCTAACGTGTGGGTCAGAAACAGAAAATGGCGAATTCAGTATGCTTCTTAGCTCCTCCTCCTCCTACTTGTTGCCTTCAATCTCCCATAAAGATCCCTAAATCTACTCACTTCTTCTTCTCCCCAGTAAGTGATCAGAACTCGTTGTTGCCTCAGAAGAAACAAGTGTTTCATACTTGTAAATCCAAAAGCTTCCAGATTCAGGTTCTGTTCTGTTCTTCTCTACCAAATTTGCTTACTCCATTTCATGCCTAAGAACTCATCTATTGGCACAAACAACAGGCCACGGACGGTACTCAGACAACTAAATCGAACAGCATACTTTGTCCAAACTGTGAAGGCAAGGGTAAGAGTTTTACCATTCTCTAAGAGTTTCTACAACTGAATTTGTTAAAAAAGTTTGACAAAATAGTTTTGTGTGAAATAAGGTGCTGTGGCATGTTCTCAATGCAAAGGAGGAGGTGTGAATTTGATTGACCATTTTAATGGGCAGTTTAAAGCTGGTGACTCCTGTTGGCTCTGTAGGTTAGCAACATCCTTCTCCCTTTTAGTTCTTCGTTTTTTTTTGTCCACAACTAACAAACAAACTCATGAAATGAATATTCTCTTGTGTTGGGCAGTGAGAAAAAGTTGATATTGTGTGGGGAGTGCAATGGAGCTGGTTTCCTTGGTGGTTTCTTGAGCACCCAGGATCAGTAATACAGAAAAGCCTCTTGAGAAATTTCATCTTACCATTCAAAAACACTCTAAACCCCTTAGAAGTAGTCTTCTCTCTATCAATGCTCTTCTAAAACCAATATGTATAGTACAACAATCTGTTATTGAACACCATCTTTTTTTCTATTGTATTCTTATTTTTAGATACCACAAGTTTAGTTACAGCTCTGATCAAATTACATATACAAACAACAAACCAATATAGCCATCAATTACAGAGCAAGAATAGAAAACAAGACACACACACTTGTGAATTCCATATTGACAAAAACAGAAACAAAGAAAAAACAAAGTTTGAAACCTTTCGTGTTTGGTCTTAGTGTAAAATCACGAGAAGCTTCTTCATTTGACTAACAATAGCCAAGCAAACACTCATCATCTGATTCGCAATCACCATCTCTTTCTTAATCTCATCTCCCACAACAGTTCCCATTTCCTCAAGCCCATCGGAACAAGTCTCACCGTCAGTCATGGCGGCGCTAATCCAAGTCTTAACATCTCCAACGACCTTCTCCGTCATCCAATTCCCTCCCTTCTTCTCCTTCTCCGTCACGATCTCCGTCAACGTCTCGTTGAGTTGACTCCCCGCGTCGGCGTAGAGCTTCACGCAGTCCTTAACGGCCGCTTCCTCAGGCATATCGTCGATTGATCGGAAAGACATGGATAAGGTTGAGACCTTTTCAGAAGCGATCCGAAGAGATAGCTCGAGGATTGATTCAGGGTCTGTTTCTTTGAGAGAAGAGGAAGAAGATAAGGCCTTGAAGCATGTCTCTGGGTAAGGTGTCACGGTACAGACTGTCTTGAGAGACTTGGAGGAGGAGACTGGAGGAGGGTTGTGGGAGGGACGAGCGAAGGCTCCGGCGGTTAAGGCGACGATGGTGAGGATCAAGAGGAGGGAGATGATGGAGACGGTGGTGATTATGGTTTTGCGGGAAGATGGTTTGGGGAGTGGAGAAGGGATTTGGTTTTCTTGGTCGGATACTTTGCCGTAGCCTTTCAAGGTGTTGATCGACTCCATTGCGGAAGGGATTTGGATCTGAAACTGGAAAGAAGATGAATCTCTCTGACTATGAGGTTTGAGATAAAAGTCAACGAGACAAAGTTTGAATGTAGACTTTGTAGCATTTATTCAGAACGTATTTACACGTCTTCTCTCTCTCAAGTTTCAAATCTTCTGCTCTCACGCGCGTGAGTATATGCATGATTTTAGTTTATTATAAAAAAGAAACACTTGGTAAATTATATATTTATAACTACTTTTCAATTTTTATTTGCTTACAGATAGTATTTTATAGCTAATTATATTTAAATAAATTTTTTTTGAGCTAATTAGCCAAAAAAACAAAGGAAGAAGGCGAAATTAGGTGAATACCAAAAACGAAGAAAATGTTAGACACGCGAGGAAGCAGGTGGTGTCAAAATGACAAGTCTATCCTGCCCGGATAACAACTTTGCTTCCCGAACGTAGGGACTGTAGAACCTCTCTGACACAAATATTGTTATCTATAAGAGACTTGGAAAGATAACAAGCAGATTGCGTTTACACTATATAAAATTGCATCGGCAACTTCAATTAACCTGTAGCTCAAAGAAATCTCTGACACAAACGGCGAATTTGTAAACAAATTTCGAAAGATTTTGCTCCGATATTTATTTTATTTTCGATTAATTTAAAAAATTCGATATTTACAGAAACTGGGAGCTGCTATATAAAAGAGTTGGACGGTCTCTCCTTTTTACAGGAAACTTATTGAAAGATAATAACTGCTGTGAGTCAAGTTATAACAACCATCTGTCGAAGGTGGTAAACATTCTTAGCCAGATTTTAGATTTAATAACCACTTCCGTTGATCTCAGTGTGTATTAATGGTGTCGAGCATTTAATCCAATTTTTTGTAAAGAGTTGTTCATTCAGTCAATTATTAATCATTGATGACCCTTAAATCTTCAGGATTTTCATTTATTGTTAGCAGTTGGAGTTATTGATATTTATAACATTCTTCTTAACATGAAATGGGTCGCGTTTACCGTATTTGGCGTGGAGAGTGGAAAAGAAACGATCAAGAACAGTGGTACTTTGTTCCTAACCATCAAGATTACGGCTTCTCGATGTACATGGATTCTCCTGAGACTCTAACAATGATCGATGCTACGGTCAGAGAATACTGGATGCTTGGAAGTGCAACTCCTGTGCTCATAACATACGGGATGCCTAATTGGATGCTCTTCCCGACTGGGCCTTCGGCGCTGCAGACTATTGCTACAACAGCTGACCTTGTCAGTCTGATTAGCCAGATTCCACCACTTTCCGACATAACACTCCTAGTTACTTTTGGAGCTAAGAGTGTTGCGGAATTTCAGTTCCTCTCTCGTTCTGATTTCACAATTGGATTCTCAACCTATGTGGTTGGAGATAGCCAAGATGAAGAAGCTAGAGCACGATACGATGGTAAGTGGTCCACAAATTTTCTATGTGTATCATCATCCTTGCTTAAAACATGAGTTAATATTTAAAACATATGTTGCAGAGTTGGTTTTTGGTGAGAGGCTTCTAATGAGTGAGAGTGTCATGAATGAAATATTTGGAGAGCAAGAGATGGTTATCCTACACCGCATTGCTATGGAAATGGGTTATGCTGACATGATCATGCGAGCTGAAGCAGGTGTTGGAGTTTTGCAAGGCATGGAAATCATTCAACTGGATGATGATGATGATTAGATGATGGAAGTTTCTCAAAACAGCGAAGGAGGTGGAGGTATGTAAATTGATGTAACCGGTTAAACAACTTGTGTAGTTGGATTATTACCTAGTTAACAGGCTAAGATTTATATTAAACTGAGAAATTATTTATTATTCAAACTTTTATTTTTGGAATTTCAGGAACAATGGTACCGGGACTTTCCCAACCTCTTCCTCAAATAAACACCACTAACATGGTGGATGTGCGTATAACTGGGGTTAGGTCGACTGGTCAGACAGTACAAAGAGGAGGTAATAAATTTTTGGCTGGCGATTTAAAATAAATGAATGTGTGTAACAATATACTTATCTGGTTTTTGGTTTGACTAGACCCTAAATTCAAATTATATTAAGTTGAAATTATTTATTACGCAGGCCAAATTGTTCCTTTTCAGGCACCACCCCTCCCACATATTGCCCCAGCTGATGCACCATCGATTCTTGGGGATGTTGGAATAGATCTATATGATTATCTTGAGTTCTACAACAGCCGAAGGGATGGAAGACAAGTTGCTATAGACTCAGCATTTTGGAACGGTATAATTGAAGAAAATTTGCAAGGATTTTACCTCCTTACAAACCAGACCACAGTGGGTGTGGGGCTCAGCCAAAACACGGCGCCCCTTGTACCAGATGGAAGCTCTTCCCATGGAAGTGAAGGACATGTTCATGGAGGTGAGAAAGCGGGTGAATGCTCTTATGGGTCCACGGCTAGCAGAATATCCCCACTTGGAGCTGCTGTCGAAAAAAATGATAAGGAAGCTGAAGGTATTTCTCACTTTCATTTCTCTTTAATATAATACGGTACTGTCATTTGGTTGTTTTTCTAACTGGACTGTATGATGGAATCATTGCAGTTGTTGTGTTGGATGGTCCTGAGAGTCTAGATAAAGAGAAGATGAAAAACACTCCCCCGCTGGTAAAGGTGCAAGTCAGTGAGAGAAGTGGACCAGGAGAAGTATCTGGTCCTCCTCTGAAGACTGTTCACGCCAACTACACTTCATCTGATGGAAGCGAGAGCGAGGGTGGGTTCTGATTTTAAGGATCTGAAAAAACAATGTTTAATATTATAGTAAGTTAGTGATGTTTTGATAAGCAAGGGTATGTTAAGTTTAATGGCCGGTTAAGAGAAAGTTTAACCCATATTGACCGTTTTTGGGGTTAAACTTTTGGTTAACCGTGATCAATGGGTGGTTATTTTGGTTTGGTTGGATTTTGGGTCTTTAGAACGGCTTGTAGACGGTATAAAGGGACCGTCATTAGGGGGAGGAAGGTTTTTCATGTCTGATGTAAACATTATGTTATCTTTTTAATGAATAACTAGATTTTGACCCGCGCTTGAGAAGCGCGGGTTTTATTTTGGTTGTAACAAAATGTATCAAATGATTCTATTTTTATTATATGATAGTTTTATATGTGAAATTTGATGTATATTTAACGTTTTAGTAGGATCGTTTCATTGAGTTTTGCATAACCGAGTCAGCTTGTGATTGAACCGAGAATCAGAAAATTAAGTGTTGTGAGAGTATGAAGAATTAAAACACATATTAGATTGAAACCAAGATTGGATGGGTTCATGGCCTATAGTAAATTTGAAAAATCAGTACTATTGAAAATGTCTAAAATTGTATTACAAATTTGTAGTTAAATCCAATAAATATGTTAATCGAATTATATAGTTTATTTATGTTAGTTAAAATAATTACATTTATGATTTTTGAACAATAAAAATAATATTCAATTTTGACTCGCGCTTCTTATATAGTTTATTTATCTTAGTTAAAATAATTACATCTATGATTTTTGAACAATAAAAATAATATTCAATTTTGACCCACGCGTCTTATATAATTTATTTATGTTAGTTAAAATAATTACATCTATGATTTTTGAACAATAAAAATAATATTCAATTTTGACCCGCGCTTCTTATATAGTTTATTTATGTTAGTTAAAATAATAACATCTATAATTTTTGAACAATAAAAATAATATTCAATTTTGACCCGCGCTTAAGAAGGGCGGGTATTTTTTTGACCATAAAATAAAATATTAAATTAATTTATGAGAGTCAAAGGTAACTCAAAAATAATCTTTTTAGGAGAGTCAAAGATAACTCCAAGTATATAAGGATGAATTTAAATATTGCAAGATTCTGTAGTAACAAATGAGATTTGTTACTCCAAGTATCTATTTTTCTGTTTCAATATGCAGCAAATATAGTATCAATCAATTTTCGTTTATTATATCATAGTATATTGATCTTTTTTATACAACACTATGTATTTTTCATATAAATAAATCAGTCAATAAATCATCAAGAAAAAGCAAATATTATTTAAAAGGAAAATTATTGGGTGAAAACAAAACGCGATTTTGATTCATCCAGGATTAACGCTCGAGAATCATCATTACGCGACTGTCAAAACATAACTAAAAACATTATTTCTAAACAAACAATCCTAAAACGGATCGATGGAGAATCATCATTAACTCTGCGATTTTGATTCAGCCAGGGTTAACGCTCGAGAATCATCATTACCTCTGCGATTATAAATAAGTTTTATAATTTAGTCTATACTATTATAAAGTGAAAACATTTTTGTTGAAAAATATAAATATCGTTGTTTAAATTCACCTGTCTCTGGTATTTCAGGATTAACAAACATCTGACTTACGTCATAAACATTTGAGATTTAGACCTCACTTATAACCAAAATTAAATCATAAGCATTTGAGTAATTTCTTTTGCCAATCGAGGAATGTATGTCTGGTATTTCAGGATTAACAAACATCTGACTTACGTCATAAGCATTTGAGAGTTAGACCTCACTTATAACCAAAAATAAATCATAAGCATTTGAGTAATTTCTTTTGCCAATCGAGGAATGTATGTCTTGTTACACGAGGCATGGATCTTACTTCCCTATATAAACATAAAACATTATCATTTAGGTTAAACTTTAACGAAATGAAGATATCTAAATCAAAAATCTATACAAAAGGATAATTTACATTTGCATCACAAAGGATTAGTTCCATGGACTCCCTTAGTCTTTCATGAAATGTCTCCACGTATGAAGGATTTTGACTTGGATGCGACAACAGTCTCCCTCGGTTTTATATCGCTCAAGAAAGACAACTGAAAATTATTCGCCATTTTTGTTTTAGGTTTTTGAAGGGATGATAAATATAATGGTTAAGAGAAGCTATATTTATAATAGGTAGGGAAACTATACAATTAGGTTACGCGAATGTAGGGGAGAATATTTCATACG